AACGGTAAAATCTGAACGGTAACATTTCCGGTTATATTTATATAACTGTAAGGTTTAAACAAACCCCTATTTTTCGTTTCACCAAGTTTGCTATGACACTACATGGTTTTGAAACATGTCACCGTTTCCATACAAACACCCGGTATAAGGTTATAATAGAGGCTTCACTTTCGTGTTATAAGTCGAAAGCATAACAACGGAAGTGGGCTGAGAATAGCCTCCACAAACTCTAATAAATTATAGATTAGAAGCTCGTTAATCTAATAGCCTTTGAAATTGGAAGAAAGAACTTAGCTCTCGCATTTTTCTTGATATTTTATCGCCCGAGTTGCACTTGACTTAATGTTTCCAGTTAATTACTAGCTCCGCAGCGAAAACTGAGATGGAACTGGGCTTTTAATACTGGATAAGATGTTTCCAGTTGTGTAAAGCCTTAAAACATCTTACTAATTAGTGATATAAATCTGACAATTTGTTTGGAAAGAAGGAATTTTTTCTTGTTTTTAGAAAAACGTGACGGATTATTGGAAATGTCAAAATTATACTCGGGGAGTTTAGAAGCGGTTTCCGAAAATTGAGTTGTGTTTAATTTTGTAAGAAAATAGACATAAATGAAATTTAAGAATAGAATATTAATTATTTAAAATATTAATAGTAGTCTAAAAGATTTTTCTTATATTTACAAAATATTCATATAATGTAGTAGTTACGGAGTACAAATTTAGATAAATCCTAAGTAACGATTAAAATACTAAGGTATTAGATAACTTATATACAGTTGATTTTAACTATGGCCCAGCTGGAACGGAACTAATACATTTTGGTTTTTAAACCTTTGCGTGTTAAAAGTGTTTAAATGACTCACATTGAATTCAAAAACTTTTCTTCTACGCAGTCGGTAAAAAGACAACAACGGTAACAAACATAATATTCGACCTCCCGCTAAAAATCATAGCTATTTTTTTGTTTAAATGAATATAAATCCCAGGCTTTAGGGATTCGCGTCAAAAATAGAAATAAATTGAATTCGTAAACCCTTTACCCGCTGAGGCGTGACTGTGCAGTGTTATCTGAAATAATTGTAACTGAACTAATTGAAAAACTTTTTAATGATCATGACTCGTTTTCTTTTTATTTAATAAAATTTGGTTGGAAACATTTTATTAATACGTGATATGCCAACGCACTGGGTAAAGACGAGTGAGTTATAATATTTATTACAATTTAAAAATCGATTTTAGATTTAAAAAAAATAACGACACGGACAAGACATGAACCGGCGTTCCGCGCTGTTGCTCTACAATCAATTTTGTAATTTAGAGAGTGCCATCATGAAGAGTAAAGAGGTAAAGAATATCATTACCCTGATATACTCTACAGTGGATTTTAAATAAATCTGGATATTGAATGGGTGGTATTCTAACGATATTCTGTCTGGATCACGAACCACCGCCAAATAAAATTAAAATCTACGAATTGTAATCGGGTTTTTTCATTTCGGCTTAGACTGATTATCCAAAATCAAAAAAGGTCGCTAGCGTATTTTTTTGGGCTTCTTTGTTATAAAATCTTATTCCCTTGTTAGGAAGAGAAAAGACTGAATCGATCACCGCCACTAACTTCATGATATCACTTCAAATCATGATAACCTGAACAGACAGCTTAAGTGCTCTTCGAGCAACGGCAGTATTGACACCTTCAAACTCAAGGTGGAATTTTCAGACTTTCCACCCTTGGATCTACGATTCAGATTATAAGCTATAAGCGATAATAAGCTGTATGTGTGTATATTTTGTTCCCAGGTCTATATTGTGGGTCATGCTGCGCCCGGGTCAGACTCAAGATACAATATGTTATCTGTGGACGCGAATGGGAAATATCTCCGGATGGTGCGGCGCTATGCCCGGATCATAGCCGGACAATTCTTCGGGCACTTACATGCAGATACTTTCCGGGTTATATATGATAAAGGTAAGAGAATATATACTGGAAAAATACATATCTTTATGCACAGTCTTTTGTTTTGACATTGCATTTAGGCCTTGTATCTGCGCCCCGAATGTAAGGAAATAATGTTCATAAATAAGCATATATAGATCAAGCACCACCACCATAGACAAGTTATAAACTCGCGCTTGTAAGTCAATTAATGGTTTGATGGTTAAGCTGTACTGAACCGCCTAGTTTCCCTTCTTTTAGTTGAATTTAAGCCTTTGACATATTATTTTATGACAGATGAAGATAGACAAGGATGAGGTCCACTTGATCTATAACACCGTAGCCATATATACCGTAACATCGTGTTGTCGGCCTATATGGCTTTGGATTTTAAGAAATTTACAAACTGAAACAACATGTAAGACTTTAAGAGTCTTTCATTTGTGGCCGGTAGTTCGTGACCGTGATGGAATTAGAATATTTACTATGTCAGAACTATGCGTGTTGATAATGGATTTGAGAGTTACTTTATAATGTATAATTGAACCTATTGGTTAGTAGCAATATTGACATTTAATATAACTAAAAGAGATATAACGCTTTATATAATGATTTAATATATCCAGAAATGGATAAATAAGCCTGTTTTAAACAGAGTACTTTCCACTCATTCTTTTATGTTCTAGTAATTTAGACTTGAAATACTCAAAGCACGTTTTATTACGTGTTATGTTGATAGCGCGGTATTAAAGTATTATTATTTTACTACGAAAATATACATAATAAAATTGTTGAACAACGCTCAAGTGGTTTACAATGGAGGTGAGCACGAATGCTTCTGACGCGTGTTAAATCCGTTGAAAGTTTTTTATATACACATTTTATTTTATGAGAATTATTATTTTTAACCCTGGTTTTTTGGTAAAATAAATAATAATATATGTTTGTATGATTATTTTTTCAGTCTCCATTTGATGTAGACGACTCCTAAAAGTTATGACAGAAAAGTGGTTTGAATTCGGTTCACTCTGTGAATATATAAAAATAAAATAGTTTGACAGAACATCTTGTTTTAATGATATACGAGTATAGTAGGGTTGTTTGTCTGTATGTTATGTCATAAAATATCCAAAGTAACATAAATAATTTCGGTCGACCAAGGCACAAAACAAATCAATAATTGCAAAATTACTAATAAACATTTTCCGCCCTGTCTTCCCCGCGTAGCTGAAACATAATACCACTACAATAGACATAAAAATGTAATGTAATCCGATAATGAAATATGCATGTATAATAATTAAAATATTATTTTGTTAAAATTCTATTCTATTTTATTATAATTGTGAAAAGTTCTACATTTGTTATAGATTTTATCCACTTAAGTGTAATGTTTATATTTTTTTTAGAACACCCCGTATCTTGGGCGTTATTGGCCCCATCCGTTAGCCCACACCGAGAACTTGGAGGTTCTTCAAATCCTGGCTTAAGGCTTTATAAATTCGACACTGACACTGGAAAGGTGAGTTTGATTCGCGATAAGTCTTTGCTAAAGGTAAGACTTACTAAAACGCTCAGCTTACTTCTTACGTACGGGAGTTCGTTAGGCATCATACCTTTTTAAAATATTGTGATGTTTTATAGATAGTTCATAAGCTTTACAGCTTAGAAAATCGAGCAGCATACAACTGTCAATTCTTATAATTACATAGGTTTTAAACACTGTCTTTAGTTTACGCGAGTAGTACACGTTTAAATAAAACACTTTAACAGCTTAAAACACAATTAGTTAAACGTAGCCCTTGGCCATGGCTGTTGCTAAGAATCTGAAATCTCGAGCCGTGGTTAATTAAATAACATATATCGCGTTTTAAACCGTTAAAGTGTTTTATTTTCATAAACCTATGTCTTATTAACTAAAAGGATATTCCATTTATATATGTATGTATACTACAAAAAGTAACGCACAAATGAGATTCGCAAATCTTCTGTTTCGAGACATACAAAAGATTTATGTTGTCTAAAGAAAAATGGGGATATTCCTTTGTTTGTATCGGCGACAGCTTTATCAGGCTCTTGGACGTTTTTTTTAGTTTCCTCCCCAAGAATATCTTATCACAAAGAAGCTCTGAAGGTTAATCGATCCTAGGCAACTCGGCTGAAAGCTTTGTGCACAAGAACCACTACAATAATACTCTAGCCGGCTTCAGTTACGTGACTGGAGTGGGAAGTTGAACCGGCTTCAAAAATAGCATTCTAACGATGCGTGGCAGCTCAGAAACTGCACCCGGCTGCACGTCAATTTGTGTCATTTTCCACAGTCCATCTGAAATAGATATCGGATTTTGGATATGTCTGTTTTCGACTAACCAATATAAGCGTTAATTTCGCATTGATTGTGTTGTAGACGCTGTATTGCTGTAACAGACGTTAGTATTGTATTATAAGGGGTCAAGCTAAAACTTCATTTAAAAAATAATAACACTTTAGTTGACTGACTGTAAGATATATATTATTTATCTCTTACAGGTATTGGATTATACGCAAATATACTTAGACTTGGCAACAGCAAATCGAGCGGATACTGGAGCGGAGTGGATAGCGGAATACAACCTTACTCAGTATTACGGACTTCGGGATGTATCAGCCGAATCCCTTCACAATTTAGCTGAAAAATTACGAATCACTTCGCAACAGGAGAGCTCATATTTTAATAAGTAAGTTTTTTTATTTATTCACTTCTAGATACGTCTTAGTTATAAGAATTAAACTAAAAACATGTTGTAGAATTGAATTAAAAATGTTGCTTAAAAACATTAATCTGACATGACAGCAGTATTGGTTAGAGTAACAGCACGGAACGCTGTGAATGCCGTTTTAAGTACTGCTCGTGTCGTAATTTTTCTTTTATCTAAAATCAATTTTTAATATTTATTTTTTTAAGGTACATACGAGCTTACAGTGTCAAATACGACATCGCACACAATTGCGACGGTGCGTGTGCGCACCAACACTTTTGCGCGATCACGTGTCTAGAGCACGTCGCTTACAGACAGTGCGTAGAGGCTGCAGCTAGCGCGCTAGCGGCGTCCGGCCGATCCGCTCCACTCATCGCTTCGCTTGTTAACATCGTTATCACCTTTATAGTGGCACTAGTAATCGTACTATAAATTTTGTATCAGTGACTGAATTTTAGTGTTAGTGTTAAAATGCTCAGGCAGTTTGTGATATTTAAGTATTCAAACGAGAGGGCCTATCCCAAAACAGTGATATTATATTATGACAAAGCGGACGTGAATCGTATATCACTCTTTTGAGGATTGCCTTCAATACTTTAGGCTTGGAAAGTGATAACTAAACTACTCAAAACTGTAGATTCAACTCTTAATATGCAATTTTCATAGTGAAACCGAACGCAAATGAAAATTTCATAACACTTTTCCAATATTTTGTTTACAAGTTTATTTAATTCATTGTTTTCCATTACACGTTGTTTGAATTCGAACTGTACATAACAATCTCTATTTGACTTGTTTTTGTCGCTTTTTAAATACGCAAACGGATTTTCTTTAGCTATTGTAATACTGTTATTAATGTAAATAGCTATAATGTAATAAGGATATTTGAACAATATTATTGTCTTTTCCATTTCTATATCATAAATTGTACTTTAAGATTAATTATGAAATTTACTTTAGCCCTATGCGCTGATAATATAATGTCTCTCCACATTTATAATTCTCAGTTAAAAATAATTTCTCAATTAATATTATCTACTTTCACAATATTTCATACAATGTAAAAAATAGTTGAATATTAGATAATTTACATTTTATATCCCTGTAAAGGCGTCCGATGAGACAATTAAACTATGACAAAAGTACTTGAATGTGTAAGACAAAATATTTTTAATAGAGAAGCAATATAGAACGATAACAAAGTAACATCGCCTCTACATATTTTTTTTATATTGTTATTGTTTTGTTAATAATAACTTCTCGTAGGCTCATCTGAAACAATAAAACAGTTGTCGTTCCAGTCTGTCGGTCCGTTAGTTAAATCCTTAGAAAGGCCTATATTCAAAAAGTGGGGATGATCGGAATTATCGTAGATTGTTTCTTTCTTAATTTTTTTTAATTTTATTTAATTCTTTACGCAGTATTATTTGTCTTATTTAAAATGATTACTCGCAAAATACAACTTCTGTGTTCTGCCATAAAATTGTGTCTGTTTATAAATTATTTTATACCTAATTATGTTGTCAAAGTAGTTGTACAAGTAAGTGTTTTTCCACCGAATAACTTAATTTGTGTGATAATTTTGATACGTCATAATTTTAAAGGTTGTACATAGTAGAATAGTTAAATGTTTAAAAATTTGTAAACGAGGAACAATTAGATGATAAGATACTATATTTTGCTTTTTATCTCTTAAGGGTTTGTACGAGTATTCATGTTTTTTTTTTCAATTCTGACAGTTTATCGGGATCGTTTATTATACGTGATTAGACACAAGTGTAATTTAAAACGCGAACTATCGCGCTAAGCTTAATTGTTACAACGACCCGACGTGTCAAATTCTTTATAACAGTAAAATATAACTTTAAAAGTGTTCTTCCAAGACCAAACCATTTAAGATGACATTGGTGAAACTCAAATAAGACTTCTTCATTTTGTCATTCACAAAAACTCGTACAAACTACATGATAGCTAAGACCAAATAGCTAACGATTTTATGCCCTAAATAGCTGTATTATTTTTAATGTTATGACAGTGTTCCCGTTAATGAAAATAAATGTTTTAGTTAATAAACGAATGTATTCAATATGTGTTATTATTCAATCTCCACAAGTTAAAAAAGTTTCTCAGAATTTTAAACTTAATTAATTGTTCAACAAGTTCAAATTTGTTCGATTGGTTCTAATGTCTTCTTAATAAATAAATGAGACAGAAAAGCAAACAGACAGACATATATAACATATAAAACATGATATAAGTTTATACTATATCATGTTTTCGACTGATCCGTGGAATAAATAAACCGCTGCAGGTATAGCGACTTCCTATTAAGAAATTCCGAAACATTTTTTGTCAGGTACCTATTTTTAGCATTGTTTCATAGAAAACATGTGTATAAATATATTGGAACATACATAACTGTTTCTATCAAAAGGAAAGCGTTTAGTTTTTCCATTTGACTAGTATTAGATAAACAAGTATCACCCGTCGCAGAAACTTATCTGCGCAGAAAAAGTATTCCACCTTTAAAAGCACATTTTCAATAAAATAACAATATACTGAAGCACAATGGGATTCTATACAAATGTAAGGCATAACAAAACGTGATTTCTGGAAATCTTTGAAGCTTTCATCCGAGCACAGATACCCAAGAAATATAATGGAATAAACTTCGATTAAAACAATATAAGAATACGGGATTTACCCTGCTTAACTTGGATGGCGAGCGTTTTAGATGTTTGTATGTGGTTTTAACAAAAATATATAAGAATAGAATAGAAACAGAAGACACATTAATGTTTTCTAATAGCTTCTAAAGCTACGTGAAATTAGAAAACATTAATATTTTTCATATGTTATTCACGTGATGGAATTATATAAATTAAAATCGATTTTCGAGAGCAGCAGCACAAAACGCTGTGGATACGGGATCGAACCCGCTCTCGGCATTATTGTTCTTAAAATCTAAATAGATTTTTAATTTAGCTACAAGTCAATTTCTGAGTAAATTATTGAAAAAAAACTTGACAATTTTAAAGGCAAAAAAATACATTTCATTAAAAAATACATTTCATAAATTACTAAGTATACCAAACCAGTTTACTTTTCAAGTTTCAAAGGTTTAAATAAGTAAAGACACTTATTTATATGTCTATCTTTTAAGATTAACTTACACGAACATTTTTAATGGTGATCATTTTTTTTATGAAAATACTTGAAATGGCAAAAAAACATATGTTGTTCAGACCCGTAAATTTTTAATACTAGTAGCTTTTAAGCAAAGTCTAGAAATCCTTGTCAGAAGCACTATATCATATACAGCATACATATATTTGTCAAGTGGTTGCGAGCTATATTCGACGTCACCGGGGTGATATTTTCTGCAAAGTAAGCAACTATGGAGCATATTGTCATGCAAATTTATGTAAAACACAAAAGTCGATACAGTATCTTGAAACATGCATAACATCGACCTCATATTATTAAGCTTCTTCTTTACGATAGAAGGAGATTCTGTTAAATTCAGTTGATCGTGAAATAGCCGAGCTATGAAACATCTAAACAAAATCGCTGTCGACCGATATTCGCTGTCGACATTCCGTAATCCAATACTGTAATTAATAACGCGACTACACTCATTTAATCCAAGTGTCCAAACATTCATGTCTTAAAAAATATAATGAATGTATTTAAAATTATGTTACACTGGATCGCACAACCTACAACCCGAAGATGTTTTTTTTATTTATATTGATGTCATCTTATTAGCAACAATTGTGAATTTTTGAGTAGTTAGTATAGTTTAAAAAATCTACAGATATTTTAAGAAAGACCGAATAGTTAAATATTTTGTTCTTCTCTACTCATTAAGTTTAGGGTAACATTGCATTATGTACAAATAAAATCCTAAGGTCATCAGGTTAAGCACTGGGTCCTGGGTTCGAATTCCGGGGCGGAAATAGATGGTTTCGGTTGGGCAGGGCACAGGATTCTTAGTTAGTTAACTACTGTTCTGTGAAACCGATCAGGGGAACGTCCGAAATACGGGATACCTGTCATCAGAAGTAGGTAATAAATGACAAGTTTATTTGAACTAGAATTGGGGTTCCTTCATACAAAGAGTATCAAGGCCGTAGATCGCGTGAACTGCTCTATTGAGGCGTGAATAGGTAGCACCCAATTCAGTCACCATTATGGCTGGACAAATCGTTATCGGTGACTTTTGGGCATGAATACAGCAATATTTCATGTCCGAATTCAATATGCGACTCGTAATTTCCATGTTCTTCGGCCTTGTGTGCTGTTATTGGTGTCAACATCCTTATTTAAAGTTCTGGTATAAAACTAGTACAATTTATATCTAAACTAAGATTGTAGTAGGTTTAACAAGATTTTCTGTAATTAAGTGTGTCGTCTCATGTTTTATGATAAAAAAGCACAGAGAAGCATGGATATTACTTGATTGAAGGTGATATACCCCGGCCATTGCTGTCGACCTATTTAGCGTTGCATATTCGCTGAATAAAGGTTTGTATTGTAAGTAAAATAAAGTAAGCCATTTTAATACGTGAATTAAGCTAGTGATTAATTCTTTTTAATTTTTTCGTCTGATTGATTACTATTTTTCTCACTTACTAATCTACATAAGTATGTAGTTAAGTACCTAATAATAAAAAAATAAGTGAAAGAAATTGATGACACGGACGGCTGGCGAATCTATGACGTCTGCGTGCCGTGTCGTTCAACGTGACTTAAAGCTACCGTTTCGTATATACATGCACCTCTCTAACAATGTATTTTCAATATCGCTTGCCTAGAGGCAAGACTGAAATTTCTTATATTATAAACCATAAAAAAATAACATAAATTTATATTACTTTAATACGCGTAAACAAATTAAAAATTCAATACAGCATTTCTCACATATTTTATTGCGAAAAGATTCGCGAAAGCCCGGTCCCTACTTACCCCTTACCCCGATAGCAGGTTGACCAGTAGCATTTGTAAAATGTTTTTTTCCTTCGGCAACAACTGCTAAAGAGGGAAATATTGCCGCAATAAATTATTACTTTGTATCGGGCCTTTGTACGTTGCGTATATTTGGAACGCGGACAGAAAGCTTAGAGGCAAAAATACAGAAGCGTATTGCACCTTTTAAAAGAAATATTGCCCTAGTTTATAGTAAAATGGGATAAATTGCCCTCGCGAATTACGAATATGAGTCTCGTGGAAGAGTTTTAAGAATGAAATATCTGTTTTTATTAATCATCTTTTCGTTATTTATAATTTTATTGTGTTTTTTTTTTATAATAGAGGAGTACAAAGAAGAATGGGGTACAGTTGATAGGAGGTGGAATACCGCAGCCATATACCATCTAGCATCATATTCAAGCGTTCGTAATCTTCTTTTGTTTGAAGGTTAAATAATAAAA